TTCTATTCATCCAATAATCTTGGGGGGGAAAATGATCATGGTTTCTACAAAAAACATTAAACAGCTCAACTGTTAAAATGCACCAGGGATGAATATAATATGCTGATTTGAAGGATCATGTGACACTGAAGACTGGAGATGGATGCTGAAAATTCAGCTTTGCCATCACAAGAAAAAAAAATACATTTAAAATATATATAAATATTTCACATTATTGTTGTTTTTACTGTATTTTTGATTCAATGAAATGCACCCTTGTGAGCAAAGAAGACTTATTTCAAAAACATAAAAAATCTCAAGACACCAAACTTTTGAACAGTAGTCACCTTTAAAAATGAATGGCACTCACATTTTTTTTCAGGCCTTGCAAAATGTTCTACAACTTTTTGCTGATAATCACACTAAATTTAAATAATGCTTAGATTTTAACTGGTTTTGAAAATGGTTTTACTATCCTGAAGAACTCCAGTGTCTCCTGCAAGGTAACTGGTTTTAGCTTTTATCTAAACATTTCCTCCCTTTTTGATTGTAGAAGGATTTCAAACTTTTTATTAAGATGTTTCTTTCAAACCATTTAAACCATTGGTAACACACTTTACCACAAGGTTCATTTAACATTAGTTTACGCATTACGTTTACATTACATTTAAAGTATTTATTTATCTAGGTTAATGTGAATTTCTTCTTATAATAATACATTTTTAACATGATTTCACGATGTATAATTTCAGTTAAAGTTTAGTTTAAACTGTTGCAATTACATTTTAATATGAACTAACTTGAATTAACAAAGAACAATAGTGTATATTACAAATGAACAATCTAGATTATTAAGGAAAAAGGTCATGTTATACTCTACCTAATGTTAACAAATTGAACCTTACTGTAAAGTGTTATCTTTCTATTTACTGGTCCCTGAAATTAATTAGCTTAGTTAAATAATATCACAAACTAGCAGTCCACACAGGTTAATCAGTCTTTAAGAACTTTTTAAAGGATTTTTGCTCACAGATTTCTAATATATTTCTCTCTTGTTCCCCCTCCACCCCCCATCCGCCCACACACATCACCACCCACCTCCCTTTTCTCTCCCATTTCACCTCCTCCTCCTTCCACAGTCGCTATCTATCTGGGTATCAAAAAGCGGCAGAGCCCCGGACCCCCCGATGCGGCTGGGATGTGAGGGTGCGGAGCCCGCGGGACCCGGCCGATGTGGTTCTGGCTCTGCGGGAGGCGGCGCAGGGCTGCGGTTGCCAGGTCCACCAGGCCGGGCCCTTCCTCCTCTCCTGCACCCACGGAGCCGCTGGCTCCCGCGTTGCCTTCGAAGCCGAGGTTTGCCAGCTGCCCAACGGCCCCGCCGAGACCAGCGGTGTTCGATTTAAGCGCCTGTGGGGGGCACCGCTTGCCTTTCGGGACATTGCCACCAAAGTGTCCAAAGAACTCGAACTCTGAGTGCAACAGGGGGTGGAGGGCAGGGACAAAAGCATGGGACAGAAAGATGAGATGAGTGGAAGTAGCCCCGCCCACACCCCCGCCCCCTCTAAGCCTACAAAGACTGGCACACACACATTGAGAACTGGGCACCTTCTTACACAAAAGCCCTGCTGAAGGAACTCCCTTTACCGGGTCTGTTTTACCGCTGATTTTACCTGGTATCTTAGCCATGTTATTTTTTAACACGGATTGTTTGTTGCATATTCACTCTGTACATTGTCATTCCTTTTTAACTGCTGCTATTTAACTCTTTTTAAAAAATATATATATTCTTCTGCTGCGCCAGTGAGAAGAGTATGTTTTATTTTATCCTCGTTTCAATAACCATATTCACAAAAAACACATGTGAATGCCACACCATTTCTAACCGTAGACAACATGCGGAGACATGCAAGTGCTGAAAGTGATAGCGATTTCTCCTAATTTTTTAATGATCTTTTCTTGTTGGTTGTTTTAGCCATTGAACTTGCCAGTGATGCAGGTTGAGTAGGTGATGTCTGCTTTCCTGAGCCTCCTTGTTTTTAGATTCGTCATATTACATGGTCACACCGTAGCACTTTAGGGCTGAGTGAGCAACATCATCTGTTTTAAAGCAGTTCCCCCTTCAAATGGTGCAATTTACCCCACTGAGCCAAGTAGAGATACAGTGCTCTTTGTGTTGCTCTTGTATGTGTATTAAGCTGATGAGAAACCGCTGTTATCTTGCCAGAAGTGCACTCTGCTGAATGGCTACAAACAGACTGTTGATTTTGTTTATCTCTGATTTGATATAGTAAGTCCTCATCATCAAGATTGGAATATGTCAGAGCTGTGCAATGTGAGGAAATGCAAGAATGATTAATACAACATTTGTCTGAAATTCAGTGATTTGTATGTCTGTTTATTTAGTAGCTTTCTATATTTTTGTTTGCGTGGCAAATATTGTAAAAAAAAAAAAAAAAAAAAAAAAAAAAAAGTTTAAACTTACTAAATTATCTTTTAAAGAAGGCCTACTCTTGTTGTATTCCAAAGATTTATTGTTGGTTTCACGGTTTAAACAGTTTGATTTTTGTAGCAAATGCACTCTGTGGATTACATTTTTGAATATTAGGAATATATAACAATTAAAGGTATTATTATCTAGAAAAATGTAATTATTAATAGTAATTAATATTTTAATTAATTGAAAGACAGTTACCATTGTACCAGCAATTTCTATTAATTTATTAAGTTTCAGGTTGAAATATGTTGTGTATGATTTTCAAATATACTGACATGTTATAATTCAAGCAAGCATTGATCTGACTTCATAACCAAAAGAAATGACAAATCATGCTCGCTTGAATTATTGTTGATTGTTATTGTGCTATTCTGCACAAATTACTCATCTTTTAGTGCCTTTAATGTCTGTTGGGTCAGCTTAGCTGAATGCATTCATAAAAGTTTCAATTATATATTAATAGAATTCTGAATGAATTCCCACAATAGTGTTATACATTACATACACGTACATTAAGTTTATAGCTGTGTCTGGAGGTAAAAACCAAGAATGCAAAGAATGTAGAGACTTAAAACAGGTTGATTGTTACATGGGGCCGTTTATTAACTTTGTACAACCAAAAAAAAGTTCGGGTGAATACAACATAGCTAGGGTTTTCTAGCTATGTGGAGGTTTGATCCCAGGATGTTACAGGAGGAACAGGAAGATAAGGAAAAGTGCATGAAAAAGAAGACGACAGATAAGAAAGGAAGGAGGGAAAAAGTAGGAAAAAGGGAGCCGGGGTGGAGTGTCTCTTGGAAAAGTCAAGGTGGCATGACCGCATGAAAGAACAAATAAAAAAAGAAAAGCACTTTTGCCATTTTACTTCTGGGCAGGGATCATGCCATCGATGGACTCGCCCTTCTCCAGTTTCTTTTCCATTTCAACCATGAGCTTCACACCATCGACTACCATCTGCACCTGCTGCACCTCGGAGGAGCCCAGACGGTCAGCGTTGGAGATGTCAAACACACCACCGACAGAGGCAGTGTCCACACCACCTGGATAAATAGAGGTACAAAGAGTCGCTCAAATGGATGATCTCAGTGCAACACTGCCATTTTATGTGTTCAATGAATTCAAGCCCACCTGTGCCACGCTTCTGAAGACGCAGTCTGGTCAGGATCTCCTCGAATTTGGCATGTGTGCTGAGTTTAGGCAGCTTGACGTGCACACCACCACGAAGACCGGTACCCAAGTTAGAGGGGCAGGTCAGGACGTAACCAAGATGCTCGTTCCACATGAAACCGTGGTTGTGCTTCTTGAAGACATCCTCAATCTGCAATACACAACAAGGGGTCAGGCCTTCGGTTGTTTATCTTTGCATTATATGACCAAAGATTAGGTAGTAAATAATGGGATTTACCTTCTGCAGGCCTACGCAGAACCTCTTGAAGACCTCCTTCATGTTGCCGCCCTTCTGCATGGAAATGACACGCAGGTGATCCTCCTCGTTCACCCACACAAGGAAGGTCTTGTTGTCATTGTGATAGATGCCTCTTGCGTCAGGCCAGTCGCGGGCCATGCCGGCAGCCAACAGCAGTGGGGACACAGGCTTGTCAAACAGGAAGTGGTCAGCAATGAGCTGCTCCTGCTCCTTGTCACTCATGTCCTTCAGAGGGTAGTACTTGCCCTTGAACTCCCCATCCAGGCTTTTCAGAGCTGTGAGCGGAACAATGTGAACGTCAGTAAAAGCAGGCATGTTTCTTTGTAAATGTCAGTACATGACGTGACTGAGACTCACCCTCAATGGACAGCTTTTCCACAGTTCTACGCTCACCACGGCTGTTATGGGGAGGCAGGGTGAACCCCTTGATGCTGCGGCCGGTACGCACACGGCTGCTCAGAACGTAGTTGGGGTCAAGGTCATCACCACCCTGTGCACAGGTAAACATCAGCCATGATAAGAGCAAAACAGCCATGATCATGTAAAGAACTTTAGAGTACCTTCAGGTTCTCAAAGTTCAGGTCAGTCAAGTGCTTGTCGGTGGGCTTGTAACCACCGTGACGGTCAGAAATGATGGGGTCGAACAGCTCCTTGAAGACTTCGTAAGACTCCTCGTCACCAGCCACACAGCCGACAGTCATGATGAAGGGGTGGCCTTGAGTTGGGAACAAAAGGAAGTGATTTACATATCTTCAAGAACAAATAAAACATCGCTTGTGGTATCTTCGAGAGATCGGCTGCAATGGGGGAATGTATTCAAACATGTTCTGCTTACCAGGGTTGTCCACACCGGTCTGGATGCAGTCATCCAGGGTGAATCCACTGGGAGTTGACTTGCCCCTGAGTTTGGTGTAGATGTCCTTATTCAGGACCTTGGCCATGTGGTTGTTGTGCAGGGAAAGGTCAGGGTACTCCTCATCCAGAGGGAATTTCATCTTGTAATCGTTGTGGCAGTTCTTAGTCATGATTGCACTTTTATGATGATCTGCCACAAGAAAAGAGTAAGGCAAGTTGGCACCTACAATTTGCTTTTGAGACACTTGCCGACAGAGCTGTTGTCAGGGTGGACAACTAGAAACATTGTCCTAGGCCTACTAAGGTCTTCTATGGTGTAGCTTACTCTTTGGACCCAGGAATGAAGGGGAACCTGCTCGCTGACATTGATATTGCGAATTACGAACAGCTACCAATTTGCATTTAGTTAAGGATAAGCCACACTTGTTTCCAGAATAAAATGCCAGCAGTTGCAGACACAGTTAATGTATACTATATTTCGTGCCCCAAGTAAACTTCAATCTCTTAGTAACAAAATATGTTGCTTTTTCTAACCAGCACCTCATATTTCTACATGGAGTGTGTGTTGCATAGCTTGCATGCTTATATGCATTAGACAGCAGGTGATATTTTTAGCATGGCTGGCAAACTCACTCCCATCAATCACAGCAGATAGCATTCACCTCTCTAGTTTCTGATGGGGGTGGAGCATTTACACTGGCCCCATATGGTATTACGTCCACATCAATTTAGCTTTTGTGAAATGCAATTTAAAAATATAATTCGAAATATCAAAAACGCTTACAGTTTAGGAGTAATAAATCATCCTGATCTATTTGTCCATATTCACAGATTTTGCATATAGTTGCATACAAAAATAATGAAATGTCTGAGGCATTATAAATAGACTTGAGTAAAATGCATCAGCTATGAACCCCAGATGGCACGACCTTGCACTAAAGTACAACAGGTGTCAAGCACACAGATCATTCCTGCCATAGACAGCATATCTACTCCAGACTGCTCTCTTATTAGCTTTCCAATGCATTATGACTCTGAAGCTTATCAGGCAAGGACAAGCTTTCTGCAGACCTAGTTATGCTTCAAAAAGCAAAGCAGCTTCAAAAATATGAACATTTCTAACATTCCAACAATCAAGATATAGTAATTCCACAAGAATCCAGAATCCAGTGCATGAGGAACACCAATGTGATTTGATTAATTTGAACGGGGAAAAATTTGGATTAACCAAACTGAAAGCCCCAATTTATTGTGTCATTTTTTTTTCTGAAGTTTTTCATTTTTAATCAAGTACCCCTTATTCCCACCCTTGTAAAATCTCTGAACCGTAACTTAGTTTACCTGTATGGGAGAAAATGTAACAGTCCTTGGGATCAGATCCTGTTCACCAAGCCAATGTAGGGGTTGCCCAACTTTGCAAGATGTCAGACCTTGGTTTATATACTTCGATGTTTGTTGCCCATTGGCTGCTCAGCTCATGCAGGCTTTAACCTGATTGGACAGCTGCACTCCTTGATAGGGGTTTCAGGTTCTAAAAGGAAAGAAGCTGCATCACAACACCCGAGACGGGCAGACAGCTGTCCTCACCCCCTCACAGTGGCCTGTTGCCCCGTGTTATGAAACTAACTCGAAGGCACTGCAGAAGCACAAAAATGTTTTATTTACTCATCTTAATTAATTATAATGGATTAGTTATAACTTACTGTTGTGTTGAGGCCCAAAACTGTCTTTGGTACTTTCTGAAGGAAATTGTGAAAAAGGACAAAAATTTTAACAAAACCCACTAAAATGAATCATGATATTCATTGTTGTTGTGAATGTACGAGTTAAAATAGCATTATGGTATTTGCACTTTTATAAAATACTGTTTACTTATGAAAAAGTCAACATTAATGACTGTTCTCATTAAAATAGTAGTTGGCCCTGTATTCATCCATGTCTTGTAATATATACTTAGAGAACGTAAGAGAAGGCATCATGTGTCCCTTGAGGTGAAGACAGTCTGTACTGTACACACTAGCGTTCTCAGTGTCCAGTTAGTGAGCTCTACTGCTCAAAACCATTGCATCCAATATACAAACTTTGATTATGACTTATTGACTAGTCTCAAGAGAATATGTGTAGACAACTTTTTGTAAAAACTCTCAAAGTTATCTTTTTCTTAATATTTTCTATATTGCTATTATTGCCCTAAGTTATGTACTGTAAATTACTTAATGTAAAGTGACTGGGAAAGACACTATTAAAATAAAACTACTTCTACTTTATTGCAGTGAAGTCAGAAGCCAGCTGCATACAGACACATCCACAGCCTGATGTTGTTGGAACAAACCAGAAAACACTCTGGAGTTTTTTTGTGTAAGTAAAACTCCAGTGTGCATCCATTGGTTAATTAGTGGTTCCCACCCTGGTAAATGCTTTAAGGGCACATGACTGAGCATATGACAGGTGGGCAGAAAGTTTAGGAACCCTGTGGAGGGAAAAAAAACTATAACATAAGTGAAGAGACAGGTTTGTGAAAGTGTGTAGATGGAAGAGGACAAAACTCAACCATCCCCCCTACACTATTAATACCCAGTGTCCAGTTTCACAGTTCCCCCCCTGCTGTGTCCCAATGTGACAAAATTAGTTTAACCACTATCCCCTACTTGCTTATCTGCCAGATCTTATTTGTATCTAGACACAGATGTGTTCTAAACTTCTTGTTTTTACCTCAGGATTACATAATATGAAAATAAGCACAAAAAAGATCAAAATGTTACGTCAAAAGTCTATTTTACTGATGACCAAATCTTTGCAATTTAAAAAAGCATCGAGTTTTGTCAGCTATAGTGCTGGAGGGCCTTTGGATTTGGTGGAGAAGTGAAGGGTTAAAAGGGGAAAGGAAAAAACTCAAGCTCACAGTCTACTCCAAAATTAGCAGCCATGCATCCAACACCATAGCATGCCTAGCAGAGAGAGAGGACAGTCACAGAACAGTGTTACCACCAGCCATGAGAGAGTGGGCATAACAGGGTGTGTTGGGGTCCCCATGAACAGAGAAAACCCCCTTATCTCATAACAGCATACGCATATGTCTTTTAGGAAATTATAGGGGGGGGGGGGGGGGGGCTGTAAAATCTACATGCAGAGTATCATATCTACATCCACTGTAAAACTGCATCTTGGTTGCAAACTTCTAGGGAAGTGCTTGCAACATTTATAGAAGGGTAAAAGAGTGATTTGACGTATAGAACCTTCTAAACATTATAGGCCTAGGGTTTTCCACAGCTATTTGGACTGAAGGTATGCATAAGGTTCATAATGGCACCTTCTTTTGACCCCATACGTAGGGCACGACCTCTGAAAGGTCTGTGTCAAAAATATAGCCACACTTAACAAGCTTGGTTAACTTTAGTCTTAACTTAGAAATTGTTCTGAAAACAATTGTTCTTTTTTTATCTATGACCATAAAATATAATAAACCTCATTGATAATAAATGCCTTGCAATTTTTACTTTAGCTTGTTGCACTTGTCAATACATGTCTGCACATTGTTATATAACTCAGTCAGCTGATTACCGTGAGATATGTTTAGCCAAATGTGTATGATGGCTCTTTCCATTCCATAGCTGTTGTATTTCAGGATTGTACGATGCACATGCTTTCAAACAAATTTACATGTGAAATACATATTCAAATTCTGTTTGGTCTCCACTTCAGGTTTGAAATGTTAACAGTTTAACCCCGCCAACCCAACATTCGAATTAGCAGACAGCAACAAGCTACTTGAGCCCAGGGCAGATGTAATGAGAGACGTAATTGAGCTACAGTCTGGTATTAACTAGTTTATTCCAATTGATCTTACATAAGAGGTGGGACGTGTGTCCCATGACCCCATGACCAAGGTGCTGGACTGATGCAGATAAGACCTTTATATATTTCACTTTCTACAAACAGGCTAAAAAATGGTGTCCCTTGACTTTTTTTTTTTAAGCTAACATCAAATTAAGCAAGCTAGTTTTAAACACGTCTGTACTGTAAAATGGTGATTTTGGCCTGTCTTGCCTCTCAGGGCTTGACTTTCTTGACTGTATCCAACAAAATCATGCATTTTATATTGAAATAATTGTCATAAAACATTTTTAATTATTAACTAATTTTAATGACCAAAAGCATAATATTTAGCTGTTTTCTACCCCGTTAAAACATGATTTTCCCCATTTGGATCCCTTCTAAAGCATGGTGGGAAGTAAATAATCTCATAACATTTGTATCAATTTTTACACAGACTGCATTCGGCAATCTCAACCATTCAACCCTGTTACCCACTTTATTGAAATAAAAAAGATCAAACTAATTTTCTCTTTAATTACAGAAAATAAGTTTATCATAAAAGTTCAAGTATCAATAACTACAAACTCAAATTTGGCCCCAAACTAGCTTAATTTATGTTTATCTTACCTTATCTCAATGTAATCGTAATCAATCGTAATCAAAATGCATTTATGCACATAAGATGCAACTATGATGCTCCACATGTGGTGTGTTTTTCTAGTGCAGCAGTGATCACATGGTCACATGGTTTAGCACAAAGGTGCCAGATATGTTCTTGCTTTGCTTTTACTGTCAGTGTAGGTCATAGTTTTGAGAGTTTTTTGTGCACCTATGCACATCCGCTGCAATCTCTTCCGTTGAAATCAGAGTTGGTCAACTGGCTTACAGGCACTATGTTTAGTGCTAGGTTGCAAGGTTGTCTCTTTCCCCATGCCATCTCGCTAGATTGAATTGCACTGACTCAGTAATGAGTCCCTTCGTTCGTTCGTTCGTCCGTCCGTCCGTCCCTCCCTCTGCCTGTCCATTGACCTCTGCCCCCAGAATTTAGAGTGACTGTAAACAAAATGTATTTATGCATGTGAAATGCATGTTTGATGTCCCACATGTGTTATGTTTTTCTAGAACAGCAGTACGGGTCTGTAACTCTTTTTGAAAATAAACATTGCTGGATAGCATCGAGTCACATGGTTAAGCGCTAATGTGCCAGATATGTTCTCGCTTTGCTTTTACTGTCAGTGAAAAGGTCATTGAGCATTTGATCCACGTACTGACATTTTGGCTCTGTATAGCATTACATCTCCCACATCTACAATCAATCCATAAACTTACCCATAGATACCCATCGACTTGTACCTGTACATGAACTGTTACAGAACTCCCCCTTGAAAGCACTGCTATAACAGCAGAATTAACAGCTGTGCTGTGTGCATCACCTGAGGTGTGGAGGGGCTTCACGCAGACATCCTCATTGCATTCTCTGCTTAGCACTGCTCTCCATAACCTGTTGACAAAAGCTTCATTCAATGGAAACATCTCATTCTAAAACAAATACATAGAGCCTCATTCTTAGGAAACATCTGCACAATTTGTGTCCTCATGACTGACTATTGGTAAAATAAATAAAAAACTGTACTATTAGTTACATTAATTGATATTTTTATCGCAAAATAAATTGTATTCATTTTTAAAAGGTAATTTTCATTGCAATATCAGCCAATTTGTATCTGTATTCATTATCATTATATTATAATTAATTATAAATAATTATAAATAATCAATTTTATTTACTTATATGTAGATTTTGTCCCTGTTTCAATACTGTTGCACTCCGACAGTTCTTATTTAAAAATAATGTTTTTTTCATATTTGTCTCGAGTACACTATCAATGGGCTATATGCACGCATAACTTCCGCGTTTGATGCAAGGATGCTCTTACGTTTCCGGTTGGGGAGATTTAAAGCGGAGGAAAACCGAGGAAAACGGGATTATGGCAGAGTCTTCAAAATTTACTGTCCTCTCGTCTTTGAAACGAAACTTTAATACGTTTAGATGTAATTTTATATATAGTTATGTTTATTTAATATAATAAACAAAGAAGCATAAACAAAACGAGGGGTGTCTGTTTTGTCTGTTTTTGTGACTAACGTTTCTTTAGTATAGCAATAGAGTATAAAAACCAATATAAATTTTCGGTATAGCATTGGACTCTACGATCGGCGGAAGTAATCCAGCATAGACCTTCACCGGAAATACCGCCGTGCATAGAGCCCATCGGCCTGTATTTCGGTCTTTCGAAGGAGGCCACAACAACTTCGCCAGGCCAGTACTCAAGTTGACTATATCAACTTATTTATGAGGAGGTGTCTTGCAGTTGAGCAGTACAAAAACTGTGAATATATTATATTGCATGTTATTATTAATAATATAATTTATTAATATTTAATAATATAATATAAATGTCACGTTTTTCCTGTCACATTTCCCCTGCACATTTCCAAGTGCTAATCACCTGCACATGTCCCTCATCAGTATGCCAATCAAACCCACTATAAAGCACACACACACACACACACACACACACACACACACACACACACACACACACACACACACACACACACACACACACACACACACACACACACACACACACACACACACACACACACACACACACACACACACACACACACACACACACACACACACACACACACACACACACACACACACACACACACACACACACAGCTTCTGTCTGGCCTCAACTAGAGAAACAGACTATCTCTTTGTTACCTTGTGAAACATATCTGTGATTCCACCATCTCCAACGTCAATCTCAATGTATTCCTCTCCGTGATCCTCGTCTCGTCTGCTCCCTTGTGTATGTGTGTGCAAATTATCTAAGAAAACCACAGTTATTGTATCATTCAGTCTTTCAATCCTTTGTTCTACCATCTAGTCACTCCTCACTTGCATTGCCGTGATCCTGATGCCTTTATAAATAAACTTAAATAAAGATGAAAAACCGCACTCTATAGGTATATCTCATTTATTAATACCATGTCCACACAGACGCGTTTCAGTCTAAGCCATCATCATTGTGTTGCATCATCAGTGTTCTCAGCACTTTATAAATAAACTTACCATTGTGTTCTCAAGTTCTAACTCTCTCTTTCCTGTGTCTGTCTATATCCTGACAATAATATTATACATTATTATTAATAATTGTATATATTACACATAAATGTGAATATATAATAATATATTGTATAAAGCTGTTTTTGCAGCCATAAAATATGAGTAGCTGGCCATTACACACAAAATGTTTTCAGAGAAAATTCATTCGTTATTTTTCCCCCATAATGTGCCATTTATGAGCCACTGTGAAACTAAATGATATCAGAATTATCAGTTATCTATTCAAACTATAATATATTTTTTGTAACAATACATCCCTACTGCTACTTTGCAAGTCTATAACCACATATTTATGTTTGGAGGGAATAGTTTAAGAATTGTAATTGTTTATGTTGTTGGGGGAATAATATTTGGAAAGGCATTGCTGAATTTGTTATATTTCTTGAATTTGCATTTTACTGACAATTTCAGACACTGTCTAGTGTATGAAACATAATTCAGTCACGACACATAAAAGTGTGGTCGAGCTAACACAACAGAGTGAGCGGAGAGATAAAAATGGTTTTTTAGTGGTTCTATTGACTTTGGCCTCATCACATTTAGAGATATAGATTAGCTCTCTCCCCGTTTGAGAACATTGCACTGGACTGGCCCAGCCAATCTGCCCTTATTGGGAGTAGATTTGCCCCCAGCTCCCCTAGCAGCTGAACCATTAATCACTCCAGTCTCATATATCTGCCCACAGTTGCTCCATCGCCATCTCGCTCCTTCCTCTTTATACCCCTCGACTAATTTTTCTTCCCAAATTACATGCTGGTTTTACTCATTCCATGCAGCAAAGTGTGCTAGTATCATCTTTTTTTCTTTGTCTTTTGCATTCTGAATGAGTTGATCCCTCCCTTTCCTCACTCTCAACTCTGCACAGTCTTATTTTGATAAGTTTGTATGTTAAACTCAACACGTTTCCAATATGCATCCTGATCTGTACGGTTCCTATCATTAAGTTAAGCCCGTCTGATGGGTCCGAGGCTAATGCTGCTTATTTTACACACCCAGACAACACCCCCACCCTCTTACCCCAACTCACCCTAAGCTGCTTTATTGAAACTATGCCAATGTGGCGTGGCGTCACAGAAAGCCTCCTCCCTATGTTCAGTCTGTTTAGACTGATTTGTGACTGTGTGATGTAACAAATAGATTTACACAGACATTTACTTTGTAAGCATTGTTTAATGTTTTTGTTGCCAAGCATTGAGGGAAAAAGCAACTCTACCTAGACGGCTTGTCATCATCAATATTTATCATTATTATGGCCTACCTATAGTTTTTGTTTAGTTTTTATATTTTGTTATTTTCATCAGTGGGCTGCCTCACTAATGCTGTCATTGACAAAACAATCAAATCGATTGCAATGTGAGGCTTTGGAATCATGACTGAAATATTTACATACACTGACTGGCAGATGTGGTTCACAGTAGCCTACACAATACAAAAAAAAAACCCGAAATGTAACACAAAATATGAATAGGCTATACATTACTGATAACAAAAATATAATAGAACGAGATTTAAATAAAATATGATGCTGCTGCTCAGTCAGACGCAGTTCAGAGCTGTCACAGATAGGTGGCCTCGCCTCGCTCTGTGTGGTCACGCGCAGCCGCCGTACATGGTGTGAACTGACGGATCAGGTAAGCGCTGTTAATTCAGCCTGTCTGCGACGCAACAACAGGTGAATGAATGACCGCGACGGAGGCTGTACTCATTTATCGCCACAACATCAAGGAAATAAAGATGTGATGTGGAATATTTTAGTCGGAATTGTCTGGCTGTAAAGTTGGGACGCGTCGCAGACACTTGTCCGAGTTACTGCAGGTAAATAAATATCAGCTGTTGACTTGACGCTCACTGACCGATAGTCTCTTTTAATGAGCTGGGAAAATAAACAGCTTTACTGTGCGGTTTAATAGACTGTTACACTCTCGTTTCATTTTCAGTGTTTGTTTTCCTGAATTAACCTTCGATAGGTCTTACTACTATATGTTAAAAGTCGGCAAGTTTGTCGACTGCAATTATCGTTACCCATCGTATTATAACGTGTTTATTATAAGGAGATATTATTTCAGTTCATTTATTTTAGGTTATATATACTAGGCTACATATATCTTAGGCCTATATGTAATTTTAAAATGTAGGCTATAGGCTATTTAAAATATAATACTGTAGTATTCAAAAGTCAAATCCAATAGATTACATTTTTGTCATTATTTGCCCAACCTCCTGTCAATCCAAACTGGTATGCTGTTCTTTCTTCCATGATATTTTAGCCATTCTTATTATCACTAAAGTAAACAATGATTGGGTTTGTCAACCTCTAAAATGACTAAATATGACACTTGTTATGTCCCTTGAAGCCATACAATAGCTTTTATAACAACAGACTGAAATTTAGTTTGTTATTCGCTGTTATTCTGAATTAGATGACTTGGAATATAGCACACTAGTCATATGAACAAACTTTATGACACTTATGATGGTCTTGCATCCTTTTGGAGTCTTGAGTGACCAGCACTAATGTTCAAATTCTTTCTTTTTGTGTTCCACAGTTTGAAATGTCATGAGTCATGACACAATAATGACACATGTTTTGGAGGGGAATCATTTAAGTGTTTAACTGCATCATTAAATCAGGGTATGCAATGTCATTTCAAACAAATCAAAACTGAAGAGCTTTTTCAAAAGCAACAGCTGTTGACACAAGTAAAAAATAACAAGTTTACTGTTAGTCCACTCCACCCTTTAAACCTAATTTATCATTTATCATCGTTTTGTTATTTTCTCAATTAATTACCATTAAAACCATGTATCCTGTGTATGATGACCTCATCTGTCTGGCGTAAACATTATCTCAGGCCTTTACCTCCCCAGAGGGATCTTTGTTCCTACATGTAAACTGATTCTTACCTAGCAACCCTTCTGCTTGTTTTCATCTTGTTGGGGTGGCAAAGAAGCTTCACTACACTACACTTTACTTCAGTCTTTTAAGGCTATAACGGGTCTCTGCTCCTGAAATAGGCCTAGGTGTATTCTCTGGTGCTTCCTGAAAAACATGTATTCCCCATCTGGACATATCACACATACAGTGCTGTTTTGTTTGTGCAGTTACTTTGAACTCTTTTCCCATCAGAGAATGCCTTTTTATTATGAAGCTTTTTCTTTCTTTGCTGCCAAAGGAGATTGTGAATTAAGGTCAGTTTCTGATATTCTATCCTGTGTTTTATGTAATTTTACCTGTGACCCTCATATGCTTGTTTAGTAGTTGCTTGTGTAGAGTTTGTCTACACATTTTTTCAGACCATTTTCTGGCTGACAAATCACATTTGATATTTCGTAGCAGTGTTGATTTATTTACAGTGTACATATTAACAGTGATGTCTGTGTACATTTATGTAGCCGAAGTAAGTGTAGCAGCCTTTTTGTGCTGAACTATAAAATATGGTGTGGAAATACACTATAAAATTATTTCTTTTGACCTTCTGACTTGATGAAAGTTGTAAAAAGTTGTGATGGGCACACAAACAGCTTTTTAATCAGTAAATCTGACTCAATTCAGTCTGTACAGTGGCTACACTTTGGGTTTTGATCTGTGTAGATTAATCATTTGCATGTACACCATTTGGATACTTCAAAAGTTAAGGGTTGGGAAGTTTTTTTTTTATATTTTTGAAACAAGTTTCTCATACTCACTGTCTATACAGAAAAAAATACTGTAAAAAATAATTGAATAGTAATAATAATAATAGTAATTTACAATACAGTAAAAAAAGTACTATTGTGAAATATTATTACAATTTAAAATTATTGTTTTCTATTTGAATATATTTAAAAATCTAACTTATTCCTGTGATGGCAAAGCTGAATTTTCAGTATAATTACTCCAGTCTTCAGTGTCAGACATGATCCTTCAAAAATCATTCTAATATGCTTTTCTAATTATTATCAGTGTTAAAACGGCTTAATATTTTTGTGGAAACTGTGATGCAGGTTTTCATGATTTTTTGATTAATAGAACGTTTAAAAGAACAGCATTTATTTGAAATGAAAAAACCTTTTGTATTTTATTTTAATGCATTCTTGCTGAATAAAAGTATTAATTTCTTTTTTTTTTTTAAAAACATCTTTTGAACAGCAGTGTAAATGTGACCCTTTTCCTCATGTCAGAAAGTTTGAACTATTTGCCAATTTCCCCCCTTTAAATCATTTCCATCATTTTAGTAGGAAAGTTATAATGCATTTCTGCATATGAAAAGGTCCTTAGAATCATACTCAATTTTCACAGTAAATGCACATTAATACCAAATACATATTTTCCTCTTCAGGTACTGAGGTCAGACATGTTGTCAGGGGAGGAAATCATATGCAGCACCCAGCAGGTCATCGCAGGGCTGGAAGCTTTGCGTGGAGAGAACCGCACGCTGCTGGACAGCCTGCAGGACACGCTTCAGAGCCAGAAGTCCAGCGAGAGCGGCAGCCTGGAGCAGGAGAAGACCGGCATCATTTTAGAGTCTCTGGAGAGGATTGAGCTGGGCTTAGGAGAGGCACAAGTGAGCGACGCAGTCGTCTTCATTCATCTGTCACACTAAGTGCATTTCCACTCACCCTTAGCTGTCTGTTTCCCGCTCATCCAGGTAATGATGGCGCTGTCAGCACACCTGGGCTCCTTGGAGGCAGAGAAGCAGAAGTTGCGTGCTCAGGTGCGGAGGTTGTGCCAGGAGAACCAGTGGCTGAGGGATGAGCTGGCCCGGGCTCAGCTGCAGCTACAGGAGCGGGAACAGGAAGTGGTTACTTTAGAGGAGCAGAACAGACACCTGCAGTTCATGAGCAGCATCCGCAAGTACGACCACGAAGAGCCGCCACTGGTAAGGGTTCATCTTCAAAACATTCATACAGTTAATATTAGGTTCTTAGGCTAAACATTTTGTTCTAGACTAGCTTTGTGGTTCTATTGTTGTGTGCTCATGTTTCCTGATAATAATTAAACAAACGTTAAGTGCAAATTAAACGTAAAGTGTAATTTACACCTCATCTCAAGTTGTATTTAATAGCACTTTCTTTGGTGGAAATTACTTTTTTAAATATTAATAAAATGGCAGTCTCCTTTGTCTTGTTAAGCATTTTATGCATCTCAAATACACACAATTAAATAATATTTCCACACTTCTTGAATAATTTGACAATTACAGATTGATTGGTAATGATAATAACAATATTCTTCTCACAAGTAATATTTATCGTTATTTTTATTTATTTTATTCACACATTACATCTCATATTTCATCTTAGGTATGTTTTTTTAATTTATGTTGGGAATTAACCAGTACACAGCAGTGGGACAGTCGAAAGTGATATAAATTATATTTATTTGTATAGTTATGTTCACTTGTTGGGGGGATTATCATAGTTTTAAACATGTAATGTAATTGATATGTTCATGAGGGATTTTCATATTTTATCAAAAGTCTGGGACAAGGGTTTGGGACAATGCTAAAACAAATAATATCCATATAAAAAGGCATTTGAAAAGTAGCAAAAAATAAATGCATGGTATGACAAAACAAAGTCAGTTTGACCTTGCTATAACAAAAAGAAAAATTTGAAATCTATTAGTTTTTGTAAAAATCGACCCCTGGGACATAAAAGTACCCAAATTTAAAGAAACGCGTAACTTTTTGACGAAGACCTCCATATAGGCAAATATTGTTTCTGTATTTCTACTGTAATTATGACAGCTACTTTTTTCAGACTTTTTTGTTAACAAAAACTGAGGAGTATTGATATATCAAATTGATTAACCATGATTATTTTTTTAGATTTTAAGAACTGTATGTTCTTCAATAAGAAAAAATAAATATGATTGCATTGTTCAACTTTTGAAAATCTAGTGTACATAACAGCACTTATTTATATACCTTTAAATATCTTGTCTAAATAAAATGTTTATTTTTACCATAATAATAAGCATATACATTTGATGGCTCAATAAATAGATTAAAATCAAATTGTATAATCCAGTATCTCAACTAGGAGCCTCAAGATTACTTAAATGGTTAAAATTAAAAAAAGTTTTATTCATTTTTTGGTAAGTATTTTATAACTTTATAAGTGTGATTTCTAGACCTGGAAAAGTGATTTTAAGAACTGCATGTTCTTCAATAAGAACAAATAAGACAAAGAAATATGGTTGTATATTACATCTTGCTTTTATTTGTTTGTTTTTTAGCATTTTAATTGAGATTAGAGTTTGATTTTAACATTTTAATAATAATTTATTATTTGAAAGTGATTTTGGAAGTGTGCTGAAGCCCCCTTGTGGGCCCTGATACCATGGTTGAGAACCACTGGTCTAAAGGCTTTCCGAAATATATCACGACATGTTCATGCTGTTTGTTTGTTACAGGAGGATAAAGATGCTTCTTCAGGGAAGGAATCCCTTGATGATCTCTTTCCTACTGAAGAAGAGGAGCAATCACACAGTACATCATCCCTTACAGACCACAGCTGTTCCTTTACACATTGAGTTTTTGCCATGTCAGCTGTTAGGTTAGAGTAAGCTAGGTTTAGTGTGGTGTTTGATTTCAAGCACAGTTAGGACAGTTTAGTAGAACCTCACATTAAATTTAAACTTCTGAAAGATCGCCCTTTTTAATTTCGATAAGGGTAGAGAAATGTCACAAGATGGATTTGAACTCATGATCGATCTATTGGAGCATGTCCACATGCGTCTCAGCGCAGCTCTTGTATTTGCAGTGTCTCGGCCACACAGTAGTGCCGCCGCCGCTGCCCAGCAGGGAGGATATGAGATCCCTGCCCGACTGCGAACGCTCCACAACCTGGTGATCCAGTACGCCTCTCAGGGCCGCTACGAGGTGGCCGTGCCACTCTGCAAGCAAGCTCTGGAGGACCTGGAGAAATCCTCGGGCCACAGCCACCCAGATGTTGCTACCATGCTCAATATCCTGGCTTTAGTGTACAGGTCAGTTATATGGAACATCAAATAATTATAATTTACAGAATCAATATTTAGTTGTATTTAAATGATAAGCTTATGAAATAATAATTATTAATATGTTGCTTTAAAGGGATCAGAACAAATACAAGGAAGCGGCCAATCTCCTGAATGATGCATTGGCCATCCGCGAGAAGACGCTAGGCATGGACCATCCTGCAGTATGTACTGTTTGATTTCTTTAGGAAGTCAAAAAATTCTTATATCCCTTTCCTTGAATTTTTGTGTTTGTGTTTGCAGGTGGCAGCTACTCTGAATAATCTGGCCGTGTTGTATGGAAAAAGGGGGAAGTACAAAGAGGCGGAGCCACTATGTAAAAGGGCTCTGGAAATCAGAGAAAAGGTACATAATAGAAGAATGGTAATCCCACCTGTCAGATCATATCCACTTACACTACCGTTCAAAAGTTAAGGGACAGTAAGATTTCTTTTTGAAAGAAAAGTTTGTACAATTTTTTTGTCTTTGAAGAACCAGGATTCCTATCTTGAAAATATCCTTTATCTTTATCCAGTGAATCAAGAACAACTGGAAAAGTCATGGGGCCTTTAAATATTGTTGTGGACATTGGGGGGCCTTGGAGTCAGAAAGGTTGAGAACCACTGGTCTAGTCTAAATCTCTTGTCTATATTTGTCTGTTGACAGGTGCTTGGGATGGATCACCCCGATGTAGCCAAGCAGCTGAATAACTTAGCCCTCCTATGCCAGAATCAGGGCAAATACCAGGAGGTGGAGCAATACTATGAACGTGCCCTGCACATTTACCAGAGCCAGCTGGGTCCTGACGATGCCAATGTGGCCAAAACGAAGAACAACCTGGTGAGGATTGGAAATGAGTTATTTAATAACAATAGCAGTATTATATAATGCGTGTTAAATAACATACCGTTCATGTGCTCCTCAGGCCTCCTGCTACCTCAAGCAGGGTAAATACAGGCAAGCTGAGGCTCTTTATAAAGAGATTCTGACTCGTGCTCATGAGAAGGAGTTCGGCTCAGTGGAGGGTAAAATTAATTTTACATCTGCCTCCAGAGAATTATCTACGCACCGTAGTTTGGCCTATTAAACATACCTGTCCAATAGTAAATTAATATTTTCACATCTATAAAGGGGACGGACGACCTGTTTGGATACATACAGAGGAGGGATGCTCTAGACAGGTATGTTTCCAGGCCAAATATATGTTTTATAAGGAGAAATAGCTTTTTCTTTGACATTTTCCTCTGTGTGTGTGTACTGTAGGATGGTCTAGGAAGTCTAAAGCGCAGCGGATCATTTACCAAGCTCCGGGAATCCATAAGACGAAGCAGCGAAAAACTTGTTCGGAAGCTGAAAGGAGTCGGAACACAAGAAACGACCCCTCGAGCTGCTGGGTAATGATATTCTGCTTTTTGTTCAATTCTCATCACTTTTTATGTAGAACAGAGCCGCATTTTTGTAACTACTACTCTATTCTTAAAAAGGATGAAGAGAGCCAATTCTCTCAATGTGCTTAATGTGGGTCTTAAAGAGAATCAAGAGGCTGCTATGGTAAGTGCTGAGTCTTTGCTTTCAAATTTTCTCAAGTATTTAAAAATATTTCACATATAATCCTCATATAGTTTTCTCATACTTTTGGTTTGGGATTTGAACAGACCCCTAACCATAAATGTTCAACTGGTCTTCCACCGGTTGTGGTTTGGACATGTATGATACCTCAAATCTTGTTTAGGAGAGGTGCGCTAATGCATTTAAAAGTTTTTTTTAATCCAGTCTTCCAGTGTCACATGATCCTTCAGAAATCATTCAAAATGTTGATTTGGTGCTCCAAAAACATTTCTTATTATTATTATCAATGTTGAAAACAGTTTTTCAGGGTTCTTTGATGAATAGAAAGTTCAAAAGAACAGCATTTATTCATAGAAATCTTTTGTAAATGTTTGTACTGTCACTTTTGATCAATTTACTGTCCTTGCTGAATGAAAGTATTTTCTTTTTAAAAAAAATGAGTGACCACAAAGTTTTGATTGATGAATGGAGGGTATAATTTCACAGGAATTCGATCGAGATTGATTAACAGATGATTAAAGCCTAGTTTTGTCTTTTCAGAAGCCCAAGAGGCTGACAGACACACGGGGTCTGAGTTCCAGCACGCAGAGTTTAGCCCGCCGCTCGTCTCTGGGTGGAGACAGCTAACCTTCAGCCACACACCAGGACACCCTGAAGAGATGTCAACATCTGAATGGTCTGTAATAACTGCAGAGATCGTATTTGATAATAATATGTGAAATAGTATGTGACAATGAATGCAGTCTGTCAAAGTGCTCCTGGGAAAAGGAAGCACACTTTGGCTTTACAAAAAGAAGCAGCTTTTTTTTACTTTGTTGAAATCAGTTTGATCTCTGTCGTTGTTTTTTAAAGTCAGTTGCATTATAAAAAGTCACAGTGAATTTTAACTTATTGCATTCCAAAGCTAAGACCAGATTGAGGTTTTCCTAGTAATACTATCCAATATTAATACATACTCATTCCTATGATTACTATAATTTTACCACAACCTTCAGCAGGATGCAGTTTTTTTGTTGCTTGGCAAAATTTTGCGGGCAAAATACAGTCATTTCAATAGGAATCCACATGATGGGGAGTTTTGAGCGAACTTTTCCTCAAGTTGGACGTGCAATTTTGTCACATTGACCAACTTTCTGCCTGGTTTGAAAGTAACTTCTGTGTGAGCTGTGGTTCATGCATCATACACTATAGACAATTAATTTTTGCCCTTGAAATTTCTCCAAAATTTTGCTATTGTGACAGCACCTTAACTCTATTTAGAATAGTGTAGTATTATGTGAAATACATTCCATGTTCTCACACCATCATGCAGTAAAATTATAGTATTGGAATTGAACAATTTCAATTGCACACAAATCTTAAAATCGGATCTAAATGCACTTAAAATTCCTAATTAAAGCTACATGTTACATTCCAAAATAAATTAAATGCATTGCTGAGGTAATGTCAAAAAATTGTGGTTGGTACTTGTGCCTATAAAATTAGGGACTTTTTATTTTTCAATTTCAAGCACATATTGTATGTATAAATATATATGAGTCGATATATGCTATACTATTGTTTTAGTTTTAGCACTCATCACTATAGGAAGGATTTTACAAGAGCAGAACTTCAGGGTACAAGAGTAATTTACAGTATATAACTTGAATCTAGTTTAGTGGAAGTAGTTATCGAGAGGTAAAGGCATTTGGACCTATAATTCAATGAGTTGTTACATAATCTAAACAGTTGTACATGCTACATGGTTGAATGTTACATATGCGCATATGAGCTTAGAAAGTATATTTATGTACACAATGTTGCTGATGAACCAAATAAAATTGTTCTACCTCTGTCTTAATCAAAATGTGTGTACCGTGTGATAAATAGGTGAATGACAGCTGATATGGCCCGAATCAATAGCTGGGGCCTCATTTATAAAATGTTGTGTAGAAACCCAACCTACATTTGATCCAAGATCATTTCTCAAATGTGTGTACGTGTGATTCAGGGAACAAACGTACGCACAAAAAAGTATGCCTCTCTTCCAGATGTGAAATTTATAAATCACAAATTATCTTGAAATTGTGTGCAGCTCTGCCTTGTGGACGGCACCTAATTCACCATCCAAATCCTTTACTTGAGAATGGCGAGCGGCAAGAATTGCTTCGATTTCCAAACACCTGAGGTTCTCCGACTCTCTTCCATAAGGAAAAGCGCATACGTCTTCTTAGAACCTGGCGTGGCAAATATGAATGTTGCCGTGGATTTTAGCATACACACACTAAGTTCAAATCTGTGCACACACACGTTTTAGAAATGATGCCCCTGGTGTCTTCCAGTAGTCTCCCCCTAACTGTGGTGATCTACAGTTGTTATTCAGTGTGCGTTTTTGCCCTCTACAGCTGCTTCTGAGACAGCATGTTGCACTTCAAACAGTACAGAACGACACTGGTTAAAGAACAGCATTTATTAATGCTTCTGGGATTGTTGTAGAAAACACTTAAAAAAATACATATATACACATTTTCTCAATTTTGTTCCTTTCCGCTGTAAGAGACCTCAGGCTTGATGCGCAATCTGAGCAATTTTCTGGAGCATATCCTCAGACTGCAATTGTTCCAGGGTCAGCAGAGACAAACCCAACTGATCCTCCTGCCACACAAAGATTCTTATGAGAATTATGCACCTCACAAAACATCGTTACGCTCTCACTTTTTGCATACACGCGATTTCAGTTGCTTCTAAATTTAGAAAGAATATAAGTTCAAACTTACTGAATGAAACCCACTAAACATGACAGGTTTCAATCATTGAATCGATGATTTGACCTTACCTGTCTGAAGGGCTGTGCCATCTGTCGCAGAAAGTGTTTGGCTAACTGCACCGTCTCATCAATGGTCAGATTTAGGCTTCCATCTGTGAGGTGTTCCTGGATCCAGCGGGGCAGCTTTCCTCGCTTATCTGCTCGTGCGTAACGCTGAGGGAAAAATCACAATTAAACGACAAAGAAAAGTTTGCATGCTACTTTCCCACCAGTTTACTTACTTTATCTGCAAAGATCATCAGGCCATAGTCCGTTTTGCCTCGGATGACCCTACCCACACACTGAGCCGCATGCCGCATCGCATCAAACGTCAGGAAGTCATTTTCCCGGATTTGAAACTGCTCTCTGAGGTATTCCAACCGTGCCTGATTCAAGCAAACAGGTCAGGGTTTTTATTAGTTACAGACAGTATTAGAAATCATGATCTAGGAGCTCTACATACCTTGAGGATTCGGCTCTGAGTGTAAACATACGGCACTCCAAACATGATAACGGCACGACCAAAGTGATGAACTGGGGGTTAAAAGGAAAAACTGATCAACAAAAAGGTTTAACTTAATTTTATTAAACAATTTGCGGATTAAAAACAAACAGCTAAACTGATCAAGGGACTAGTATCCACCAAAGTCAATCCCCTCGGACACTTTCCCTCTTGCCACGGAGAGCAGAATTGCTCCTCTGCCGTTCTCACAGGCCTGAAAGTGAAAGATAACAAAAGTGATTACATTATTACAGGACACTTAAAATAAAGTCAACATTACATAAGACGATTAAGGGAAATAGGATTAGGGAGCATTAAAAACCCAATGATTATTGACCTCCTGATACTTCTCCAGGGCCATGCTAGTCTCGGCTGCATCCTGGGTCTCTATGAAAATGAGCTTGTTCCTTTGGATGTTCTCAAGGATTCCCTACAAATCCAGCAAGTTGATTAGTTATGATTATAATAATAGCACTTTAAATGATCGGAGAAGGAATCAAGTTGCTTCTTTATACCTGTTCATACCAGGAGGCCACAATGTTTTCCATGTAAATGTAACTTGTGAAGAATGCCACAATTCCATCAGGGACAATGGCGGACATTTCCAGCAGCAAGTTTCCATAGTTCCGGATCACAGCTATGGGACGTAGTAAATAAAATGGTTCTCTTTCAACAGCACTCCAAAATAAAGCCAATTTCACAAACAAAATTCACAAAACAACTTACCAAAATCTTCTCTGGTCTCAAACTTGGAGGTCATCGCTACCTGATCATTCCCTCGACCCACAATCTGAAAAAATTGGAAAAACAAAATTGTCTAGATAAAAAATTATAATAGAGCTTAATGCAGTGGTTCTCAACTAGAGTGCCAGAGGATGACTTATAAGTATTTAAGTAAATAAAGAATTATTATTAATATATTAAAACAATTAAACTGTAATATAAAATTGTCAAAAACACAAATACAAGTAGCAAACTATTGTTAGCTTCTGGAATCAAGAAATTAATTGTGGTTAATCAATTTAATATTTTGTCATAATTACAGCAGAAATACTGCTGTCTTTGACATCCGTCTCGTATATCTTCCTTCAAAACTTTCAATTAAATATACAAATATTTGCACAATTGCACTAACAGTTTGGTGGCATTGCCAAAGTCATAACTCACAAGAGGGCACAGGCAGGTTCGTGCCAGTGTCATGGTGAAGGAAGCCACAGTTACTGGGCGGAAATCAAGGATGCGTGGGTAGATGTCCAGCGGAGAGAGCGTCTAATTCGGAGAGAGAATTAAAAATGATCTTAAATCCAAAAGTTGCTAACCCAGAATAGTGAAGTTTCTAAAATAAATAACTTCAGAAGATAATAACGGATGATGTAGAAGTGTAGGCTACTGAGGTTTGATGACAAGTGACACTTTGCCTGCACACTTTAAGGTGAAAGTGAAGTGTGTCTTACACAGATGCCATGAGTGTTACAGTGGGATTATAATGAAGAGATCAGTGGGGAGGGTGTGTGTAATCTAATATTCATGCAAAGATAGCGGCATGTGGATTGAGGAGCACAGCTTACCCCGGATGTGATGATAACTGACTGAAAACGCCCAAACACTGGCTTTATGGCGATAGAGGGGTCCATACAACTGCAGAGAAAGGAAAAGTTAATGATAATGCTAATAAACTGAAATGAATAGACATTTAATAGAAATGACAAATTGCAGAATGAATGCACCTGAAGTGAAGAACAGGATTCGCTATTGTTGGCGTTTTATCTTCAAAGGGTTCAATGATGATGGTGAAGCCTAAAAGAGAATGATTACTACTCATAAGAACTCACTTTTGAAGGAAATCATTAGTAGAGCAGCTTTCTGTTGGCCGCTGCGCTGTTTCCTTGTGACTAACCTAAACGCTGCAAAATCTGCTAAATGTTCTGCCCTCACGCTAAATTCCTGATCACATGGATTCCAATTGGAGAGACTGGATTTCCATGTAAAGTTGCAGAACAAGACTGCACCATCATGGTGGCAGGATGAGGCTTTCTTACCTTTGCTGTAGGTGCTGACAAGTGTGGCAAAGTGTGAGATCAGGGTAATGGCTGAGAAGTCAGCGATGTCTGCAATCTCCAGCGTCCTCAGCAGTGAGCGCAGCCTCTCTGCACAAAATCTGGAAGTGGATTAAATATACATTTAGGCTGGGGTGAATATGTGGCTTCATTACTTAATAATGACCATCAGTTCTATTTCCAGTACGGGGTGGCAGAAGAAACTGACTGTTTCTTTTTCTCACCTCAGGGGTTTGCGGTCAATGCAGACCTTCTCGAAGATGTCTTTGAGGAACTGAGGAGCACTCTCCTGCACCACATGGTGGATCCGCAAACGTGCCTTCAGGTACTCGAGGAAGCGCTTCATAAAGCCTACAAAGTGCTCTGCAGTGCGGATGCTGCCAGGAACAGCCTCTGTAGTGAGAGTCGCATGTGTCAAACATATCTGGACACTGAAGCCACACTTAAAAATGTATCAAATCAAAATATGTCATTTAAAAAAATATAGCAATTTGAAGCAAAACATTTCACCAAAGAAGTCGCAAATGATTGGATAGATATTGTATTTTTTTTGTTCAAAATCAAGACAAAAAGTATCTAACTAAAAATATGGGACCAGTTGGTTAAAAGTCATCATCAAAATATGACGTTTGTTCGCAGATGCAAATTGGTTTGAGATATTGTATC